TATAAATTAAGACTTAACACGACCACAAAGACTTTAATGCCCGTCTGCACTAGTTTTGCCAGAGGGGATTAGGCCACCCCGCATGGTCACCGACAGGTGGTTATCTCATCAAATCAGCTCTCAATTAACATACGAAAAAGGGGGACCAATGGTCACCGATTAGGCATTGTTTGATATATAGAGGGCGCAAGTAGCTACATAGTGCATGGGGCTTTAAGTAGTTGGCATTATCTTTCCAATGACCTTGTGAAATATGCGAAAAATTAAATGACTATAGAAAGTCAAATATGGTGTTGAAATTGCCCTTAATTTGATTTCTTAAAAATCTGTGTAATTGTGTCACTGGATTGATCAGATGGACAATATTTATCCCGTGTGCATAATTGCCCTCATTTCAACAATAAACATGGAAGCCAACAAGTTATCCTATGCGCTATCAATTTCATGCTTATATATTATAGCTTCGTTTTCTTCTAGGTTTTATAAATGACATATCTGATAATATCGTTTCTATCATAAAACTATAGATCTATGCTGATGATTGTATTTCATGTAGATCTATCCATTCCATTGAATATTGTGAAATTCTGCAAAATGATCTCGAAGCTTTAAGTAAATTTTCAAAGAAATGGCTTCTTGATTTCAATATATCGAAATGTAAAATAAGGTTCAAACCTCAAGGTTAATTATGTATATTAAATTTATTGACGAGATTTAAATGAAAATAATGACAAATATCCTGATCCCACGACTAATAAGACTCTAAATTGAAACGATTATTGTAACAAAACGTACATCAAATGCAGTAAAATCATTGGGATTATACAGAGAAACTTTTCGAATTGCCAAATTTCAGTTTTTAAAACCCTCTTTGATTCACTTATTCGCCCATGCCTTGAATACTGTTGTTAAGCATTGGAACCTCTAAAGAACAATTCTTGTGAATATTATCTAACGTGTTTAAAGACGGTATTTGAGAATGATGTGCTGAGACTGACAATCAAATTACTGTATAATATATTGTTAGAACAATTAAGTGTACCAGCTCTAGAAGTAAGACGAATGCATCACAGACTCGTGATATTCTATAGGATTTGTTACAATTTAATAAATGTCAGTCAAAGAATTACACCAGCAAATAGAATAGGTAGAAATGGCCATATTACAAGAAGATGTTTGTACTTTTTGCAAAACAGCAATTATTACAAGAAATAATTGTATTTAAGATCTGCAAACGATTTGGAACATGCAACCATATAATGTAAAACATAGCCCAACTCTCTCAGCTTTTAAAACCTCACTTACGATCCATTTTTTAAATTGATGAAGGTAATTACATAATTTCCTCTTGTTAAATAGTAGTATTATTTTTTCTTCTCATATTCTATTCATATAGTCAGATTTCCGTTCTTCTATTCACAATCTTTCTGAAATAATACCACTTCATTATGACACCATCGTGCAATTTAATACTCAACTCTCTGATGATTTATTTTAAATAATTTTCTGTCACCAGTTTTAAGTTTACATGCTAAAGAATTAGATTGTGTTTTTCTCATATTTACCTCCTTTACTATTTTACCTATGTATTTGTTTAAATCTCTTTTTTATGATCATGTATCTTTTTAAAGTTTATACTGTTATCATTTGTAGCGGGGAAGTAGCCCTTTACGGGGGTTTTTTAAAACCGTCAATGCATCCCTAGACATTTTTTGGGTTTACTGAATGACTGAATTAATACAATACAATACCTTGACAAACCTGCTAGGTGCAATTATATTTTACTTAACTTGCACCTGTTTTGAGACAGAACAACGAGATTACTCGGGTGTACTATTAACAATAAACTCAATAAGAAATCCCATATTCATAACATACTACCCTTACCACCAACAATGTACTTCACAATCAAATGTTTTCAAAGGAAATCTTTTTTTACTACAGTTTAATGATAAAAATATGTTTAAAGATAGCTTTTTATGATCTGAATCTTTCAGCAATGTTATCTTGTCCTTGGTTTAACTATTTGTCATTCGTTTGACAATTGTAGCAGTTTCGTGGTTTAGTAGATACGTCGTTGGACTGTGGATCACATGGTTCGCGGTTCGAGTCCCGCTGCGGTACTATAATATCGTATGGAAAGATATAAGTCTACAATTGCCATTCGCTACCCAGGTGTAGTAAATAGGTACCCGGTTGGAACAAATTACTTGAATGTATGAGCGCCTTCTAATGGTACCTCGGCTAAGGCCGGAATTACAATATGAGTGCGGGGCCATTAAGGAGAACAATATCCATAGTAATGAAGCTACCCTAACTGAGCAAATTATGTGTGATTATTGTTATTTTGGGGTAATTATTATTAATAATAGTAGTAGCAGGAGTTATGGTTTTTTTATTGGCATTATCATTATTATAATGATGATCATCATTAGTATCATTATTATTATAATTTTGTCCAATGATATGATTACCCAAAAAACAGCTAATCTTTCCCTCCTTCTCCACATTTGCATTTCTCCCCCATCCCAAAAATGCTGGGATCTCTCATAGGCCCCAAATGATATTACATAATAATCGGCCCTTGTCTTCACCGTTTTCAAAGCAATTTATTTTAAAAAGGGCATCTCTTCTGCCTACATAAACATGATAACACCATATCACATCAAATAAAATCAAAAGTTAAACGCAATAGAAATCTGTCAAAAAATGTTTCTCTCTCTCTCTCTCTCTTTCAAACACATGCACAAACGCACATGTTTTTTCTCGCATTCATGCCTCATTATGCTGATACCTACGATTAAGAACATATAGCAAATTGCCCCACTTCTTGTTCAAAACGTATATTCTTTATTGAACAGCATCAAATGCACACACATTACCATCAGGATACACTAACATGGAATAGAAAAAATATGAAATCATTTTTCAGCCATTAAAAAAAATATATATATATATATATATATATATATACAGATATTTCAGTCTAGAAGATATAAGTAAAGTGTGTTATATTGCTTGAATGACATAACAGGTTACTGATATAATCGAGATTCGGGCAAAATACACTTCAAAGATGTAAACTCAGTCCTTTAAAGCATTTCAAATATTACCCGAGTTACATGGATGTCACAAATTGTGCACTTTAAGCATCGAAACGACACTTTGGGCTCATGCACCACTTGCAAAATATAATTAAAGAAATACTTCAACAACTACAATTACACATTTGTCAATTTATGCTTCTGGCAGATTATTATCGTTCCATCAGTCATGCGCGTACTGTTGGGTTACATAAGACTTTTGTAAAAACTTGTTCCCCCCCCCCCCCACTCCTCCACTCTTTTTTAAATTATGTTGGTTTAAATAAAAGCAGCAAAATTAGAAAGTCAAATAGGTGAAAATTTGAGTTATATACGATTAGAAAGACACAAAGTTTGAAGTTTTGAAAGTGAAACAAAATATATGTCCACACTCTGACGTATTTTGCGAGGCCCTCTCCGTCTCCTCGATATGCTGTGTTCACCAAATTTCATAAATATAAATTTTCTTAATTATTAATGATGAAATAGGCGTGTTTTTATACAGGGTTGGTATAAAAACACATTTGCAATAATTATAGTTAGGTTCAATTTATGATTCAACATTTTCTAGTACAAGTTTTTTTTATACAGGGCAAAGAGATGGGTGATCTCAGGATATGTCAGAGAATTGCCAATTTGTGTTTGAGAAGCGAGTTTTTGTAGAATTGATGTCGGTTTTCAGAAAGTAATGAGTAAACTGGGTTCAACACTTTGACTATAAGAAGGGTTAACTTAAGAATCATTTTATCCGACTCTTCTGACATTGAGGCTTTATTCATTCACGAAAGTTTGTGCAACCGCCGCGAATACCCAATGGAGCAAAGTAAACCTCTTTCTAACACGTGTGATGTCTCTCTATTTCGATTCATGTTTCCCCCATAATGACGAAAGGACTTCCCTTTTTGAATTTCGTTACTTGTTTTCTACGACTACAATAGTGAACCACATTTTGTTTTACACAGGTTCCCCCTTAGTATCGATTTTAACTTTTAAATGTTTATTTGTATTGTTCCTTTTACTATCATTATGTCATGCGCAGTTGAGTATATACATATAGAAACTGCGCATTATAAATTTACAATTATTATTATTTATTACTTCAACCTTCATTTAGCTTTTATTTCTATCTATATTTTCTGGTAATGAAAATATTCACTCAAACACTGCAATCAATCAAGAATTGATTTTATAAAATTATAACAACGTATTAAAGAATAGTTAACATACAGTGTCATTGATTACGTATTGATTATCATCATTTAGTTCATTATAAATCTAGTCACATAAGTTATTTAATTCCTTACATAAGTAAACATAGTATACAAATATACACTGTCTTGATATGGTCTAGTTAAAACTATGCGCAAGAGGTGACTCCAATAGTACTTTTTGTTGAGGGCTCAGCTCCGAAGCAAATGGTACTATTAAAGTAACCGAGGCCTATAGTTTTGACCAGTTCCTTGAAAAGAAGGCATGGTATATTTTTTCATATCCTGCATCAACATTTTTTTTCAAATAAATTAAAAAGAAAAATCATTCAATTGTTATTGAAATCTAAAAAAATGAAAAATTGAAGAACATTAAAACAAAAACAATTATTTAAGAAGAATAAGAAATAAAAACAAATTACTAAATTAACATTTGAAAGAAAAAAAATCAAAAGAAAAATTTCAACTCCCAAATCGTACTCCCAAATAGTAGTTCTACTTCTAAATAGTTCTCCCAAATAGTACTTTTTCAGAGCAACCTTTAAATATTTGAAATATTTAAGGTCACGTGACGAGCTCTCAACTAATAATGTTTTTGGAACGGTTAAAATTTAACTTATAAACAATTGAAATTGTTATTTTCATCATCGTTACATTATAGTCAAGGATAAGGATTTAATACCAAACTAGATTTTTAAAAACTGTACAAGTTACATGTAAATTTACATAATTAAAATCAAAATATAAGGAAAATATAAACGTATAAACCATCGTACAAATGTAAAATGGTTCGTCTGTAGGCTTGCCGATTGAATGCTTAAAGGGTTTACAATTTTAAATCTTTTAACGCAAAATAAACAATATGGGCGAGAACGAAGCTACTTTGGAAAGGTAGTCGTTGCTCTTGTGACTGCATGTGGTAAATAGAACAGTCGTGGCTAATGCTTGATTCATATCACGTGACCCGACACGTGATCATGCGACCATTGCTCCAGGTTTGATTTCGTCACATGTAAAGGGTAGGGTTGAGGTGGCTATTTAGGTTTTATGTAAGGTTTATGATTAGGGTTAAATATAGTTTTGGGTCCAGGGTTGAAGTTCAGAATTTGGAATGTGTAGAAAATTGACGAGGAACTTTTGTTGGAGGAGCTAGTGTCGTACACATTCCTTGCCACAACTAGTTCTTGTATTCAGGTACAAGTCCTCCAAGGCCGGCTTTTTGTAGAGCTGCATCGAGATCCTCTATGGATCTACCCTTGAGTTTCCATTCTTGCAATAGTACTTCGAAAGCAGCCGTGACGTCGTTGAAATTGCTCTGCTTTATTTTGTCTATGTAGTTGAAATCGAATTCTAATATTCCGCACAGCTCGCTGTATTTTCCGCCAGGTAGAAGTTTCGACAACTTGTTGATCTGCTCATTCGTTACTTCTCTCCTGATTGACCTAACAATATTTATGAATATATCTTGATTATAACTTTAATAATAACATTATTCCGACCACTGATTCTTTATAACAATATTTTTCGAAAGGCAGAGTTGTAATATAGGCGTATGATTTCTATTGTTTTTCTTTTGCATAGCAGTGTATCCTTTATGGTCCCGAACACAAAGTCTGCACTTTGATAAATCATCAACATTTTACTTTTGTTTTCAACCAAAAATTTCAACCAAAAAATCGGATTCATAATTCGTAATCATTGTGTCACATTCGTTTCTTTCGAGAAAAAAAAAATGTTCACATAACATCTTAATAGTAATCATACTTACTTGAACAAGTTAAAGTTAGTTAATGCAAGGTAATTAAATTAGTTGTTCATATTCGCGTTAGGTAAAAGGAAATATGACAAAAATGGCTTCTCTGTTGAACAATCATGACTGCACTAGCTACTCAGACATAAGATATCTAAATGTAATGTATATCTAGGTCTATATTTATTTCATTAGCTTTAAAAGGCTAAACGTTGAGCCTGCTTCGTTTTATCAGATCTCCATGTCGGGTGGGGTGTCGGGATACACGAACATTTGCGAAAACATATCCGATATTCAGGGAAGGTCAGGTAAATTTGCTACAAATAATCGCTATTTAAAACAATCTTCAAGAGTATGGTAATCTTTTACGTTTACTTTCGTTAAAACAGGCCCATACAATTAATACGAACTCTTGTGGGTATATATTTAGTATTAGAAAGAGTCAGGTCGAGACCCAAGTTTTCGCAGATTCGTTTTAGGTTTTTCAGAAAATGTCGGGCAAACTCGACCCAACATACCTTTTACTGCTAAGATGGGTGTATTTCACAAATGTTACACCCGACCCTTCAGCAATTAGCGCCTGATTATTATAGAAACTTTGTGTGACCAGAAGACACGGAGATCCGTTGGAACGCAGTGAGCCAGCGGTTGTGTACCTATATATCAGCTTACCTGATTGTGCTGGATGGCGCTGAAGGTCCAGCTCCAGGGTCAGTGACTGTTTCTTGTTGCCGCCCTAACGAAATAAATGTGTATAATAGACACAAATATTCACTGTAATCATGACGCCTACACGGGAATATGGTAGGTTGGGTTCAATGTGACACTTCTATTTCATAAACTTTGAAGTAGAGACCAATTTCGAAGCTTATGAAAATTGTCATTGACTTTCGTATTTCTTTTCTTTTTCTAATGAATGATCCTCATAATGGAGAAAGAACGCTTTTTTGAACATGTAGCCTTCATAATAATACAAGTGTTAACAAACGTAGTGCTCGTATTTGGATGCCCTAATACCAGTTTGAGCTGAAACAAGATACGAAGACAATGAGAAAGTGTTCCATCCCTTTTATAAAACTGTTATTATCTTTTACATTTTTTAACGGTTTTATGTTGGTCGCTCAGTAGATTTGAAGATTCTGTTAATATTATTTACAAACGAAGAATAAAGTAACTTTGAATAATTAACACTCTATATTCTTGGACAATTTCTAATATCTTGAATGGGGAAAACATGATTTTCTTGCATCGCTGCTTTAGAAAGAAGATTTCTGTGATCTTTGATCTGATTGCTTTTATCAGATTCGAATATTTGGAAGCGCAACGCAAATCAATTATTGTTCATGGCGTCGGGTAAGATAAAAAAAAAAAAAAAAAAGGGGGGGGGGGAAAGGCCACAATACACTCAAAGTATTCTGAGTAGGAATTGAGCTTATCAAATTATCATGACGTGCATATTTCTCTTTGTTAGGCAGATTGATTTTCTTAAGCCAAGCATGGCGCTCGTGTTTGTTGTTGTTCAAAGTCCGGAGGCTTATGCAATAGACAACGACACTTATACATACCTTCATCGTGATGGGAATCATCGTCGCTGTTCTGAGGATCTCCATCTCCTGGTGGGAGAAATTTAAATGCGATCCTTTAAACAGCCTAATAAGTGGTGTTTTCGAGTTTTTTTTCGGTGGGGTGCATAACCGTATGGGTTTGTGTAATGTATAATCTTTCAGGAAAGTCAGGTGAAAGGAAAATAAATGAAAGGATTGAAAACTTAACATTCCGAATCAAAACTATGATTGAATTTTTCGAACTATCATGACGTGTATTTTTCTAGTTATTCGGCAGATTGATTTTCTTAAGCCAGGAAAGGCGTTCTGTTTTGTAGTGGTTTGAATAACTTGCATATGTGCCATCTATATATTGCTCGTATTTGGACATCCGTAAGAACTGTTAGAGATAAAGGATTAAAAAAAAGGTCCAAAGAAAGTGTTTGCTGTTTGCTGTTTTCTTTTCCTGTCTTGACAAATAATGTTTTTAAACCTTTAAATGATCTTACCATGTTGAGTATTAGGGCTGATTCCTGGTGATCTATCAAGGAGTTCTGAAGAAATATGTAAGAAGGAGTATGTAAGAATTCTTTTTTATATTATATGCATGACAGAACAATCATCTAGCCCCTTTTAAAACCCCTACACTGATGCATTTTCTCAATAGTGAATACTAAAAATACGTTAAAAGGGCGACATTATATATTCTTATGACGGTTATAGAAATTACGAGGAGAATGATCAGGTAATACTATTTACCACTAAGCATGAACTGGAGGTTCAATACCCTAACTATGCAAGAAAATATAATCGAAAACTCAATATGATGTTGATATTACGGCCTATTTTACTGTCGACTTGAAATACAAAGGACTTCCAAGATAAAGATTTACTTTAATCTTAACAATGAATTTAATCTAAACGAAGTCTGAACTACGTCCTTGTGCCGATTATACGACGTACGGGCTTAACGACCTAAATTTTGGGCTTCCAAAGAACTTTTGATATTATTATCCCGGCTTTAAGTTACCGGAATCGCAGCGCTCGTTGCATTCAAGGAATAAATCCTTCCAGGGTCGATTGTGGCAAATATAGATTTACGTCTTTCCAAAGGACGATAGTGCTCACGATTGGCTCACAGTCCAGAGGCTTATGCAATAGACCATAACACTTGTACATACCTTGACCTTGTTGTTGGGGATCATCGTTCCTGTTCCGAGAAGTTGGAGCATCTCCATTTTCTGCTATGAGAAATGCGAAATGCGAGATGCAATATGCGAAATGCGAAAGCGAAATGCGATCTCCTGCTGCGAGAAATGCGATCCTTTAAATAGACTAATAAGTGTTTTTTCCAAACATTTGTTTCGGTGAGGGTGCAGAGCTAAATGGGATTTACAATCTCAACGAGGGAGTTCCTGTGGGGTCAATTTCAAATCATATTCTTGACCTAAAAATCTGCACACCAATGAAAGTCATGTCCGAAATCACTTTCCGACGATTTATGTCCGGAGTAAAACGGAGGGGCAATTTGTGGGGTAATAAATTGTTGGGTCTCCTCCAATTCGATATCATGTATGAAGGAGCATTGAACTTGAAATCAAATGCAAACCTTAGTATCATTCTTCATATTGATGCCTCTATAAACATGATTAATTCAGCTTGGTTGTGTGATTCACATAAAAAACAATACATATGGGTACACTTGTATTTTTCTTAAGTTTCCGTAATGTGTTAATGAATGGCAACTATGCGCAACAAAGGTCCCAACAATACCTAATGTGTAAGACATGGGAACAAGCATATTTCTTTGGTGAAATCTTACAAAATATGGGATAACATTTGTCACTAGTGATATTATTTTAGATACTATATCCGTAATGAGTAATATATTTAGCATTAACTTTACTTTAGATTGTAATATTCCTTGTTAAATATTAAAACAAATTATTTATTTGTTTTCGAGTAGCAAAACAAGTTTCGTCATATTTCGTATGGAAAACAAACTTACCTCTTGAGTTCTGACGACAGATGAAAAGGAAGATGCCTATTACAAGCAACACAATGATCGTTATCCCTGCGATTACAAGACCAATTATCAAGTTCTTTCCGGATGTGTTTGGTACATCTAAAGAAGTGCGACAATTTGAAGAAAAACTAAAATCTGCTCATATCAGGAACACTTAAGGTAGTTTGAACAACCATGTAAGTTCTGAAGGGGCATACTCTTCATATTCATGCCTTAATAATATGAATAATAATATCAATATTTGTTACAATGAGAATAATGAAAAAATAGCAAGATTGGACTTGTAAAAATCGCAAAATAGAATAGAAAGTCTCTCTAATACTACGAATGCGCTTAACAATTCAGCTTTTTCAAAACATATTTTCATGCTAAGCGATTTATACATATTAATTCGTATATAAAGTATATTGTAATAAAATCTGATATTACAACATAAAGTCAAACAATAACGTCACATAATTCTTATAATGCGAGCATTCATTTTATATCATACTGTCCCAATAGGACTAATATAATTGTGTATCCTTCTGAAATGCAGATACAATTCTCCTTTTATTGAATATAGCAAGAAAAAATGTTCTTTATCTGCCGTATTGCATTTGTCGTGAGAGTGATATAACAAAGGCTTCACGAAAGTTTCTAGTGCGAGATAAATCTATACCGGTGTTAAAGGGGTGTCGTGCGGCTAATTAACACCGGAAATAGGTAATTACGCAAAGCTATACTTGTTGCACATAACAATCCTTACGTTAATTGGTGTCTTTTGTATTGTGCGAAATATACGTGTGGTAAACAAGGGGACGTGAAGCGAAGCGCAGAAAGCAACCAGTGTTATGTACCAGTTCTGTCAGTTGTACGAATACATACCTTCTGGTGGTATGATCCATACTTCAACCGATACGGCTGTGTTCTCTCTTCCATTAGCCGTAAGATATGTGGTGTTACAGGTAAAGTTTCCTGTTTCAGACACCTGAATATGTCGACTGATATCGGTGGTCCCGTCATCGTTCTGCGTCACGTCATCGGTAGACGAGACACGTTCTCCATCCCGATACCAAATGAGTTCAGTATCTTCAACAGGATAAACGTTGGGGAGTGCGCAGGTAAGGATGAAGGATTGGTTGGTAAGAACGCTGCAAGGTGAAGACTCGTCAGCCCCGGTGCAATTAGGTGTGATCACTGGAAGCGTATCAGGGCGAAGACCTTATTTAAAAGATCATAATAACAACAACAGTATTATTTAGCAGTAGTACCAGTATCATCAGTAAGACCTCTATTATCAGTATTAAATAACGATATAAATAAACAAAATAATAATAATAATGACAATAATAATAATGACAACAATAACAATTATTATGATAATACCGCTAAAATTATTATAATTATAAAAAAAAAGTTTGTTATTATTACCATTATTATCATTATATCACTATCATTGTTGTTATTATTATTATTATTATTATTATTATTATTATTATTATTATTATTATTATCATTATAGTTGTTGTATGTTATTATCAGAATTTGGGGTTATTTACCCAATGAAACCACATCAGTATTACTACTGGCCTTCTTGCAGGCCTTGTAATAGTTACCACATATTTGCCCAGGACCATTTAACTAGTAATAAATAAGCAAGGATCTCCCTCGGGACACGACAACCTTTTCTGTCAGGACGCAAGAGGGCAGTAATGACCATCAACCATTCATGAGCAGGCTTGTTATTCCGGACTTCTGATTGGCGAATATGTCTTACGTCATTATCAGCTTAGAAATAGGTAATAGGTAATTAGACTTTTATTATTTAGTGCTTTGCCTCACTATTTACAAAGTCCAAAATGGAACATAATATTACTAGAATTCGAACCCACAGCCCTAAGCTTGTCGTATGCTGACCTTACCGATTAAGCCACCGATGGGTTGATGAAAGATGGGTTTGCGTGATTATTATAACCCCATCCCTAAGGACAACACAAAAAAATCACTTGGTTGTCCTCAATTGCTTTTCTGGAGTAGGGGCGTGCGGATTCCCCCCCCCCCCTTTTTTTTTTCCTCCCATTAAAAAAAAAAAGAATTTAGATAAATATTTGCCCATAAAAAAACAAAAAATCATTGGGATGTCAAGCATTTAAAAACACGTCAATAAAAGACTTATGGTAAAAGACTAGTTTAATGTAAAATGAATATCAAGACCAACGCAGAAAGTATTTTTGGCTTTGAAATACAGCACCTTTTAAACCCCCACTGTACTACTTATAGCTACGTATGCCCTCTATATAGCAAACAATGCCTAATCGGTGACCATTGGTCCCCCATGATCCTCTTTATCTTATGTTAACTGAGAGCTGATTTGATGAATTAGCCACCTGTCAAGTGACCTTGCAGAGTGGTCTAATCCCTCCTGTAAACTAGTAATGAGTTAAAGAATTCTCAGAACCTTGCCGATTGAGCTAACGATGAGTTGTTGACAACTTGATTTGTATAATTATTATCACCCTATTGACCACCCTACCGGATTCCATGTGCGCGCCGGGACACCTCCAATGAAAATCAGTACGTGGTAATTTTTCTAAGGAACGTACAATGGGTCAAGTGATTGGGGATCTCGGGGCTCTACATCAACTGTTTTCCTTCTACGGGGTGTTGACGGCGACATTATTAACAAACAGAAAATATCAACAAAAACAATTAAGGTAACAAGTTGTTTATTCACGTGAATGACTCTCAATTCAAAGTTTGCGGGTTCGAATCCCAGGCGACACTATTTGGGTAACTCAATATTCAAGATTCATCACTCTCAGCCCAGATGTCAATTGGGACCTGACATTTGATTTGGATATACAAATTTTTAACCTTTAAGCAAGAATAGCTATGGTGCTGATAACGCTTCGTGAGTTTGTGTTGCCTTAACGTCTACTTTTTACGTGAAAGTGTGGCTTTTCTATAAACAATGCCATAATCGATACGTTTTCAGGGCCGTCTAGGAGATCAGAAAAGAAACTTACTGAACACATTAAGCTTGGTGTTGATATTGAGCACTGGCGTTTGGCCTTGCCGGTCAACGTCACAGCGATAGGTCCCCTCATCTGTAACGGTTATATCTTTCAGGATGAGCGTCGAATTGTCGTCTTGCAAACTTGCCCGATCTGCATATTCTGCTCCTAATGTTAACTGCCCCTTGGCAAGGGACAAAATATTGTGACGCTCAGTACCATTGTTGTAGTACCAAAAGAGGTTACGTATCGTGGCGTTTTCGAAGAGACATGGTATGTTGACAGTTTCACCGGTCATCGTGGAAAGTTCTGGAGTTGTTGCAGAGACACTGACTGCGGCCCAAGCCAGTAAGGTTATTACGAGAAATCCTAGGTTGATAAAACATAAATAATGAACTGAACATGTATTTCAATATTGAAATAGCTATACAGACAAATTATTCAAATGTTTACCCTGTTGTGACACGGCGTGCGATGTGAGGGTGCAGATGTCGGTCGGTGAAGAGGTTCGTGAGAGCATGGACCTATTACGGATGGACATTCAACGTGATTCTTTCTTTGATCCTATGATAGCCACCGCCTTCTGATTATGTGCATCTTTATGAGAACATTCAGCTATTTTAACAATTACGACTGCGTAAGCATTTTTGGTTATTGACAAAGGAGCATTTTCGTTCTCTTGTTTTGTTTGGACGGTGTGGTCTGTAAGAGTGTGGCTTTAATAAAAACATTAGCAACGGGGATCAGCAAAGTTGAAAAGCAGACGATTTTGGTGGTATGAAATTTATTATTACTGATTCGCACACTATTGCACGCACCAATGACCTTATAAAAACAACTAGAGGGTCATGATCTCTATTAACCCTTAGGCCCGAATTTACAAAGCAAGGTTTGAGCTCAGACCAAGGTTTGAGCTCAAACCTCCTTTTGTTTCGCCAAACCTCCTTTTGTTATTTACAAACCAGGTTTGTAAATAACAAAAGGAATCATTCTGGAATATTATGAGGAAATTGAGGGGAAAGGGATTTTAAATCACAAATAATCCAAATATAACCTACCGGGTAATATCAACATGTTTTTCAAAAATAGAACACAGTACATGGAACAACAATTTCCAATTATTAACCAGAACTGCACATCGATTTCCCATGATTTAAGCGATTTATTATCTTCTGCGCATGTTTATTAACATGTTTAAAATTACTATCTTGAATCTGTCCCGGCTTATTGGAGGTGACCCTCCTGAGATCAAAGTGAACAAACATGTACGGAATGTTATTGACACGACATTGACGGAGACAATCACAATGAATTCGTTAAGAAAACGATAATATTGTCCTCTCTCTTTCTTTGTTTTGCTCTCACCTTTACTCTCCCACACTCTGTTTAACTCTCCCTTCTTTTTGCATACTTCAAATCCATCACAAATATATAAAAGTAAATAAAATATCAGTCTAGGTTTATATAGCGCTTCATATATCGACGGTGTCTTTAAGGGTTTTACAAATGTATTATTTCCCTGTAGGCGGTTCCAGGCTTTAGTGCTCCACGCAGCGTTAATAGGGAATTTTAGATTTGCACGACGAGAACGTGAACTGCAACGTGTGACATCCTTATAAGGCACTGCAAGTGCCTTAAAAGTGCGTCACACGTCCACGCAAATTAAGTGGACGAGAACATGCGTGTCCCTGACAAGCTGTTTTAACATTTATTCCTGATTCTTGATATCTAGAATTACCATTGCTTTACAACAGAAATCATTTCGTTATTTCAAGAATGGCCATTGCTTTACAACAGAAAATAATTTCTTGATATCAAGAAATAGGAATATTAAATGTTAAAACGGCTGGCCATGGATACGCATGATCAGCGGACGTTCACGCCGTTCTCGTCCACTCAATCTAAAAGTCCCTAATAACGTTGCTATTTTAGCCAGTCGTTATTTTATAGACGCCCACAATGCTAAGTTCAAGTTCAATTTATTTCTCCACAAATGCAAAACATAGGGAGCTACATAGAATAAAATACAATACATACAATACAATAATAGAACATGTACATCATATAGAAAACGACTCCAGTTGGAGCAATGTATGTTTTAAAAAGAAAAATTAGCAAGTGTGGAAGGGGTAGTCAAAAATCAAAAATGATTTATCGAGGACTACCCCCAATAGTACAAAAGATTATACAATTAAAACTTAAAAGTAATTATAAGGTAAAATGATGAGGTGGTATCAATAACGAGAAAAGAGGGAGAAAAATATCAAAGACAGGTGAGGGGGTGCATCTACCTATATGGGCCTGCATCCCTAACTTGCAATGCCATGAAGTGCTTAGAAAAGCTTGTTTTGAAAAAGCTAATGAGTCAGGTCGGTAAGCATCTCGACCCACTGCAGTTTGCATACCGCAAAAACAGAGGTGTCGACGATGCAGTGTTGTGTTTCCTTCATGGGGCTTATAAACACCTAGATGTCGGTGGGAGTTTTGTAAGGGCACTCTTTGTAGATTTCTCCAGTGCTTTTAACACAATTATGCCTCACCTTCTTGCTGCCAAGGTTTTGGAAATGAATGCTTCTCCCCAACTTGTTCTATGGATTCACAATTTCTTGCTAGAAAGACCTCAGGCAGTAAGATTGGGAATGATTGAATCTTGAACCAAGGTAATTAGTACAGATGCCCCGCATGGATGTGTTTTATCCCTCGCCCTTTTCTCCCTGTTTACTAGTAAAATTATCAGTGACAATGAAAATTGTAATATCATAAAATATGCTGATGATATGGTAATCACTGGACATCTTACTGATGAGAATGTAAATGACTATGTCACAACGGTGAAGGCTTTCATTGAGTGGTGTGATGCGCACTACCTCCACTTAAACGTATCTAAAACAAAGGAAATGGTGTTTGACTTTCGGAAAAAATCAAATAAACACGATCCGTTATTTCTTCATAATAAGGAGGTTGAACAGGTGAAGGAGTACAAGTACCTGGGAAGCATAGTTACCAACACTTTAGACTGGACTAAAAACACACAAACATTGTGTAAGAAGGGAAACCAAAGACTCTACTTTCTGAGAATGATGAAAAATATTCACGTTGACAGAACAATTCTGGTTTTGTTCTATCAGTCACTATTACAAAGCATTTTAACATACAACGTGATTTGCTTTTACGGAAATGGGACCCAGAAAAACCGGACTCGCTTAGACCGGGTGCGGCGAGCGGCACAGAGAGTGATAGGGCATGATTTGGCTGATATAAACTGTTTGTTCGAACAGAGACTCATGTCCAAAACAAACAAAATCATGAAAGATCAAAGTCATTCTCTCAACACCCAGTATTTTTTCGAACGTTCTGGAATTCGATTAAACGTCCCACGCACAAACCGGGCACGCTTCCGCCAATCCTTCGTACCAAACTCTATCCACATGTTCAACCAATTCGTTAAGAGATAATAATAATAATAATAATAATAATAATAATAATAATAATAATAATAATAATAATAATAATAATAATATTAATAATAATAACAATTATCATAAAGCTATTTCAAAGATATTTCTAATCATCTAATCAAGTTTAACAACTTTGGATGGCTTAAACAATTTTGTATTATTTATGTGAAATGACGAGATCTTTTCTGTTCTGAAATTGCTTGCTTAGTTATTCATAACATAAATAATTAGGGAAATATTGTGGAAATATTGTAGAAATTGTGGAAAGCATATTTCCACATTGTGGACGAATAAACTCAAATCAATCAATAAAGAATGGTTTACTTATCAGGAATAATCTTAACTTGTGTAATGACCTTGGCATCTTACCTTGTATTCATGTAACACCTGGAGTTAATGTCCTGCCAAAGGATGTTAGTACTGGGATGGGATTCAAACCCTCAATCCTTTAAGATTAAAGGTAATACAAAGTTTTGGTAATATTTCAACAGGAAATTTAAAATTTGCGAAACCGTTGTGAAATCTAGTGTTGGAATAAACAACTTTGACAAAATTGGGCTCTAAAACGCTAATGATTTTGAGAAATTTAAATTTCAAATAGTGCCCACGACCATACAACGGTAAATGCGACCATAACAAATCTCGGAATAAGCGGTTTTGTTATATACTTTCCAAACGGGAATAAAAAAATCGGTCGATTTCAGTCAAGAAACATAGTTTTGAAGCTACAGTAATATCAACCTCGAGAGGGAGCTATACTACACAAACAGTTTATTATTCTCAATTGCATCACTTCAGACTAGATTTCAACCGCTTCATTGAATATTGTAGGATTGCATGGTTCCAATATGTTCGTTTAAACCAAATTCAGGACCCCATACCAAAACGTTGTACTACCTTTGAGAGTCAATTGACTGAACCACTGTATACCACAACACCTCCACATAAATGTATGCATCATCAACAACAAAGGTGATAACAAAACAAATTAGAGACACATGATTGAAAGCCTCTCTAATATCAATTCATGATGATTGGAAATTTGCCCTGGAATATATAAACTACCCCTAATTCTATTACTTCCCCATGAGCGGTTTAAATACTTAATTATTATTTACTTATGACAGGGAAGGAATAGTGACGTACGTTATGTCAACAAGAGACGTCATGAATGAGTCATGATTTCAGTACATAACCTTTAACGATATTAATTACGTGCTCACCAAACAACATTATTTATGTAGGTATATTAATAGCCTAAATATTGATATTGTGCAAGAGTAGGATTGCAAAAAATTATCTTGCAAAAAATCCCGATTTCAAGGCTCCTGGGAAACCCCCGAAATAATAATAATAATAATAATATGTAATTTTTAATTAGCGCTTATTACAAATGTCTCTAAGCACTTTACAAATATACTATTACCCCAGTCATTGGATTCAGTGCTTGCCCGCACACAATGTGTGCACAATCTCCACTCCCTGGGGAGCATTCCAGCCAGGCGTTGCTTGACGCTCAACAACTGTTTGACCAACAATGACGGTCGCATCCTAGCGGGTACCCATTTAACACCTGGGAAATGCTATTTCCTTTTTGGGAATAGCTGCATAGCTGCATAGGTTGCAAAAACTGTGTCCACCAGGGGCCCGTTCCTAGAAACCGTCGTAAGTCTAACTTCTTGACTATCCCATCGAAACGCGTGGTGATTCTATAACACACGTTTCAATGTGATAGTCAAGAACTTGGACTTATGACGGTTTCTAAATGGGCCCCAGGAATTGAACCCGAGATTTTTGTTAGGTATAACGTCATCAACCACTAGACCACAAAGATGGTTTAATAGATATTCGGCTTAACCAGAAATAGCAAAAGACAGCCTTTCCAAACCCTCAAAAAGAAAGGGAGTAAGGAAAAACAACTAATTTAATAGCTACTCAAATTATATTCCAAACCCAGTTGATTTTTCACATTATGTCCATTCATCATTATGTACATACATGTATGTAAGTGTACATATCGCGTCTCAATACTGAAGTGCAAACACATACTGAAACAAATACATTTTATGAACAAATATAGGCCCCTACATGGCATACAAACTTAATATCACTCAATCATAGTCAAGCATCATGAACATAGCAAAAATTAGTACGAGAAATACTTCGGAATAAACTTAGAAATGATTAAATAATTTAATTTTGATAATCCTCCTTCACGGCAGTATACAAATAATAATGTAAACAATTTTTATACAAAACAAATCACTGATAGAATTAGTTCTCTGTTAGTCCTCTTTCTTGTTATCTCATACCATCACAAGTTACACATTTTCTGAAAAAGCAATACAAATTCCATAATCTAAACAAATAATTTCCATACACTATACCTAACTCTAGGCATAGACTATATTCGAGACTTAAACAACGTTCCACTCATGCATGAAGCCTAACTCTTTTAGTCTTTGTGTCAATTTCCTTTTGAGTAAGTATGTATAAAAGAAATGTTGATGTCGAGCTGGATCGTACAGGTGGTTATACAGATGGTTATACAGACCTTTTTTCTTTTTTTTTACAATGCGATTGATTTTTATCAGTTTGCTTTCTCTTCCACTTCTTCTGCCTCTTCTTCTTCCACTTCTTTTTCGTCTTCCTCTTCCTCCTCTTTCTTCCCTTCTTCACCTTCTCGTACTTATCATTATTATATTATTCTCTTTACTCTTTATTTCTATTTTTCTTCTCTTCTCAAATTCAATCTCCTTGTACGTCTTTAGAATCTCATACTATACTACTCCGTGTTTCGCCTTCTATAATACCTTTTAAATTCATAACTACTATATTGTGTTACTCAGTACGGGAGCCTATTCACATACAAGCTATGCTTTTTATTTAGGCTCTCCCACATTTTACATTGTTCTACCTTGCCCGTTATATCTACACATTTCAACATTTCCTACTTATTTTCCGTACATTATATTTGATTTGAAATCTTTTATATTTTGTATTGTTTCTTCTTGTGTGAAATCTACTCTTATAATAATATACGCCTGTATTAAAAAAAAGAAAAGAAGATAAACTGTTTTTCTATGTAAAATGTGGAATAAATAAAACTTCAAACTTCAATGTCATGAGTAGCTACGATAGTCATGTTCAGAAGGGTCGTTGTTAGTTGGCGTAAAGCCCTACAGCAGTAAATACGTCATGTGTATTTCACTTACACCATTAGTTGTCCACACGCTCTACTCGGACCAACTTGCAACGATTAAGTAACACGACCTTCCACCGACCAGCGTAACTCACTGAAGTGGTGGCGCCCGCACTAGTCGACCTCAACCCGCCTTCCACATATCTAAACCGTGCGGAATCTAATTTTTCATTTTCGATTGTAGCTATAACAACCCTTGTGAAAGGTCACAGATACTCCCGAATGTAAGTGAGAGCATCCACACCGTCAACTTACGCTACCAGGCCTCTAGTCTTTTTATATATAGCGAGTTACTCCTGGATAAATCAGATAAATAAGTAAGTGGGTCGCGGTACAGGTATGCGTAGCTAACACGACCATCATTCAGACGGTCACTACTCCGACCTTTACACCTACGTCACCATATTTATCCCTACTAGCTCTTAATAACACGACCTTTATCCTGGGGTAAATTGCCACCATCTGAACAAGACTAATACAGGGCTGACCTTCTTTTTCTTCTCCTTAGTAGATTCCTCCACTATTTTGGAGATTCCTGGAACACGCAAGACATAAGGCCCCGTTTACACATAACAATTAGTGCGACCGTGCGCACATGTCGATTAAGTGCGAATTTGATCGCGATGCAAAAATTATTTCCTTATGGGGGGCTTCCATTCACACACAGGGAGAATTCTCGCTCGACGGCGAGAACGTCCGTATTTCGCATGAGATAATCTGGACGCAAGACATACTGCGAATTGGACCGCGATGCAAATCGCAGAGATTCGTGAATAATTCTGTTCACGCACGCATTTTTTTTTATTTTTTTTTATCGTGATACAGTAATCGATTTTAAATCTCACTTTTTTTTTCTGTACGTGTGAACTCTCCTATCGTCTAACAGTGCATGTATATTCTATTACGCACTTCGAGTCACAAGGGTTTGTGCATGTAAACTAATTCAGTACTTAGCCTGTACAAAGTCCTGGCTTTTATATCAACCCGATGTTCGGGGCGTACGTAAGTAACTGAACAACAATCATTACACCAGCCCCTTTCCGAGTAATTTAGTCTTCTTACCTTGAATATGTGCCATGGCCTTTTGTTCTTTCTTCTGCAGTCTCAATAAATCATGGACGCTAGCACAGTAGTGTACTCACAAAATCAATTTCACGTGAATATATACCGTTCTATTAGTTTGTCGATTATTCAATAGACAAAGTTGCTCGCGTGAGTTATGTATACAATACCCTTTAGATATTTGCAGGGCAAATAATAATTCCCTGTATTACTCTATTTAAAGTCTAGGGCATCGCAAAACTTCAATTAAAAAGCGTGTTCACTCTATGTACGAGCGATTCAACGGGTTGTTGGAGAACTTGTACCTATGATGGTCCCACGAAACAATGCCAGTATATTTTTGGTGAAAGATTAATAGTCAATGAACTATTGCAAAAGAGCCTCTATCATTGCACTGGCAAAGCCGAATGGATCTAACATGTATAGACATGAAGTTGATCCCCCCCCCCCCCCCATTGTTGTTGTGAACGATCATGTAAACGCAGATATAAGCTTAACGATCATAGCAGCTTCCTTTTACTAATTTTAGCTGTCAGTTGGTCTCCTTAATTCACATAAAAGGCTCGCTTCACAATACGTAGGCCTATATATAGAAATGAATCATGATGTTATTTCCCTATGCCAATTCATACTACTACTACCATCATCTACATATTTTCTTTGTTGTATTAGGTATCACAAAAGAGCTGCGTTGAGTGGGGACACACAGAGCTCAACTACGCAAATTCTCTCTTTGTGAAGGAAGATTTTCATATCATGGAAAAAATAAATATTATAAAATTATATGTCTCTCGAAAGCTCAGGATTCTGTCTTTCATGTCATGTCATTTTCATCAAAATCCATTAATTACTTACGACACAGTTGCTTGAGATTTACCCTCTAATTCGTACGGTCTCACTTCGTTTGTCGCCATTTTTTTTGACGGCCGATTTGTATCCCTAGTTTTAGCTGAATTCGCTTAAACGCCATTCGTCTTTGAGTTTTAAAAATCCACTGGTTGGAAAGAGCACATCTTAAGCTTTATTTTCATATAAAAACTGATGGGGGTATGTTTCAAAAATATCGTGAAAAATCAGAGTGAAAAGTTTGAAACAATTTTTCTATATCAGAAAAACATACTTTTAATTTAGGCAGACTTGAAAACACAAAAAAAAAGCTTAAGGCTGCTTTAAAATATGAAGTTTTAAGAGTTTAGAGCCTTTTTCAAATGCCATTTAAAATTAATTTAAATGGATTTGATGGTCCTAACTTACAGAAATGATTAAGCTATATACATATCCCACATATGTCGTAATTCAGCCCCACTTCATAGACACTCTTAAATCTAGCCATGTTTCAAAACCCATGAAAACTTGTTCCGGCGACGCAAAAATAGCCATTAAATTTTGTCACACGCATCAAAGTGGGCTTCATTTAATTATTTGAAAAATTCCACAAAAAAAAATATTTGTCTAAAGAACCTGGAAAATAGGCATGTAGAAATCTATACAGAGAACAGATTTCTTTAAAAAAAAGGTGATTCATCAATTAATTACAAAATTATGTCACCTTGAAAATGGCTAATTGTCAGTTATAGCCTAATTACGCAAAATTTGACCATTTTGTCTCTTATGTAAGTGGCCGTATTTTCAAAAGTACTTATTCAAATTTGACAAATGAGGTATCAAAACTCCTCTTTCCATGTGCTCTAAAATGAAATTGGCAGGGGAAATGAAATGTAGATACTTTCAAACTTTAGCTGTGATACCTAGTTGTGTATGGTGATCTAGACTTTGACACCGTTACGCAAATGCAGTGACCTAGTGAGTAAGATTTCGAGTGATCTGACCCAGTATGCATTCTTAATCATCAGGAACAACACAATGACAAAACTTAGAAACGCTTCTCTCAGTGGTTGTATTACAACATAAGGCGCAACTTCAATCGTCTGTACCTCGGGGAAAACCCAACAGCGTTCATGGTTACAACATAACACAAATATATGACACATAATTTCCATTCATTAAATTTTGATGGGATCGTAAATCATGACAAACTTGTATTTAATACTTATGGACACAATACAACACGAAATTAGTCGCCTCACACTGTTCGTAAGCGGAACGAACTGTTCATCTACTTATTGTACAATAACAAAACATTTACATGTACAACTGTGATAATGCTTTATTATGAGAATGTCTCTCGGATGAATATGTTTTCTTCTATCTCCCTGCCTCTCTCTCTCTCTATCTCTTTCTCTCTCTCTATCTCTCTTCCTTTCTCTTTCTCTCTCTCTCTCTCTCTATCTCTATCTCTTTTCTCTCTTCACATGCTCTCACTTCCATCCTGTTATGGAATGTAGTCCAATGACAAAGTGTTTTTTTAAAGGAATTTACTTCCAAACTGAATACATATATTACGTATGCAATATTTACAAGAATACATATTGATTTCTCACAACGTAGTTTGAATTCATATTTGCGATACGTTCCCGATCAATATCAAGAACTATGCTCAATCTGAAGTCTATGCTTTCCCGGAATAAAAACAAATCATTATAGTTGATGCAATCAAATCTAGGTATGACAAAGAACCCAATTTAATGTCAGTGTCTAACTTACTTTAATGCAACGAAATAGGCCTAATTTTGAAACGGTGGACGGAACCGAATTTCTCTGAAATTGGGTCCAAAATCTCTTATTATTCAATGGCTGGGTAGTGAAACATTCAGATTGAAGATATAAATGTACACATTTTTTAATTGTGATTGTTCTGGATTTTGACCCTATGTGATTTCGATTTGGGAATATAAACCGTTCAGCATGAATAAGCTGATGTACTTTACAATGTACACACATTTTGTCAGGAGAGATTTAAACAAACTCCTATCTGGTCAGGCCTTCTCACATTCACAAGTATGCGGTACAAACGAAATCATAACGTGTATGAGTAATTTATTAAATATAGCACACTGTGTGTTACCAAGTTAATATGCATTTCATGTTACACGTAGATATGATATGACAACAGATTATTCATGCTAAACGTTTATATACCCAAATTGAAATCACATAGGGTCCAAATCGCCCACAATTACAATTGCAGGAGAAGTGTCGTAGTCGAGTGATTTAAGCACTTTACTTGAAATTCAAAGTTCGTGGTTTGATCCCTGACACGGCACTGATATCCTTTGGCAAGGCACTAATCTACATTTACCAGTCAATACCCAAGAGAGAAATGGGGACCAAGTAGGGTGACAAAAGCATTGTTGTTAGTAATTACCTATGCCCTCACGGGGTCCATATGGTAAGTATACTCTCCAGTGAGTGGAGATGATGCACTTTGTGTGTTAATAAATCCGAGGACTGGGATAATAATATCTGTAAAGGGCTTAAAGACGGTATTCCGTATGAAGCGCTATTTATTCCAGATTATTATTATTATTATTATTATTATTATTATTATTATTATTATTATTATTATTATTATTATTATTATTATATCAAGTACAGGCCTACATTTTCGCGTTTTCATCTAGGTGATGTTAAAGCAGTGCATCGACTGCAAAGGTGGTTGTCTTAGATATGTTTAAAAGACATTCTCCAAAAATTAATTTCCATTCTGCATTCTGCAATCTTTTAATCCATTCCAATGTCTCAATGCTCATTTGTTTATCCAGCTTCTAACAGCAGAAACAGTAACAAAGGTTTTTTTAAACATAATTTCAAGTTAAAAATAAAACATTTCTCTGCCTTTATGTAATTCTTAATCGCCGTTGTCTTGGAGATTCAAATTCTGCATCGTCTCCACAAGAATCGGATCATATTCCTCCTCAAAATGTTAAGTGCATTCGGAGTAAAAGTTCGAGTTATGACGATAATGGTAGAATTTCACCTATAAAATTAACTTCATAAGCTTCCGGCTGTATCACATATGCTTTTCTTCATGCCTAGGCAGATATCTCAGGAATCCAAGAAGTGATGTCACCAAGATTTCAAAAAATCAGTTGTCTAGATGAAATAAGATAGGAAAAGAGAAAAAAAATCTCAGATGAAACCGTAACCAATAATGTGCAACTGCAGCATTTTTCCCAATTAATGAGTCTGGGTATTCAAATTTACTCAAAATGAAAACGTAAAAAGAAATTATAAAAGAAGACTGTTGAAAAACGTTACTTTGGTGGGCATAAAATTGTCGAAATCCTAGAATTTGTCCTGATCAAATACGATTAATTTACCTCGAGTTTAACAATCAACAGTGCGTCCCCAGAAAAAGAAAACCAGAAAACAAACGGATATTACAAACAATGAGCTGTATAAATATGATTAAAGCAATGTTGCTCAGTGACACAAATATGGACTAATGCATTTGAAAACATAATTTCCACATTAAGAAAAAAAAAATTATCGGTATAAAGCTTATAGTTTTGTGATATGAAATATGACAGCTTGTCCATAGTTGGTTTTTCAATATCAACACTTTATTCAATACAAGTACGAAAATGATTATTCTGAGTAACAAAAACAATAATTTAATTAAATTTGTCGAAACGTCATGATTTGCATTTTTTAGTTGTTAGGCAGCTTGATTTTGTTAAGCCAAAAATGTCTTTTTTTTTCTTTGTAGTGTTTTGAATAAAAAATATGTACCATAAATATCTTGCTCGTCTTTGGACATTCGTAGGAACAGTTTGAGGTATAAAAAAAAAAAGGGTAACAAGAACGTTTTTTCCCCTTGTTTGGCTATTATTTTTTCTTAAGCCCTTAAATTGTCTCACCATTTCAATCTTTAGAGCCGTTTTCTGTTGATGTCCTAAGTGGTTCTGAATCTTCTGTTGATGCTGCTTAAAATATATTGGATGAAAACAAAAGCAATCCTGAGCATATTAGATCTTATTATATGTATGACGGAATAATCCTCTAGTTCCTTTGATTTAAAACCTTAATTTGATGCTTTCTCTCATTAGTGTATACTGCAAATACAGTAAAAAGATGACAATTTATCATTCTATGATGCTTATAGGAAATGCAAGAAGAGCGATCAGGTCATATGACTGAAGACCGAACATGATCTAATGGGTTTTAGCCTTTTGTTGCACCGAAATAGCAATTTAATAAGATATTGTTGCTAAGACTGTACTTATAACTGTCGAATGTAAATATATATATATAACACCCCAGACGATGATCTGATTTCACCATAATGCCATATTGGTGGGTATTATAAACAAAAGTATACGACGATGCAGTGGCAATTCCTGTTCAATTTCAACCATATCCTCGACTTAACCATAACCCTTGACCTAACTATAACCCTAAACATCAGAAGACTATCCGTCTGAAAAACCATTGACAGCCAAGTAAAATCTCCCTTTCTGACGAAATAAATTCCGGAAAAACGTCGGGCTTTTTATAGAGTAATGTACTATACATACCTGAATTGAGTTGGGTCCTTTTCTTTTTATCTTTTCTGGAGGAGCGTTGACCTTGAAAACAAATGTAAACCTTAGCAATAATGTTCATTTGGGTATTTCATCTACAAAATCAGGTTAGTTTTTGTGATTAAAAACGTAAAGAATTACACATGTAGGCACACCTTTTGTCTAATTCCACAAATAGTTGTTTGCCGTTTCTATATTCCAAAATAGCAGACGAAAAATATCATAGAATATTTTTTTTAAGTAATGTAAATATTTAACCAATGAACATTCGTTCAGATATAAAAGGTAAACCGCCGCAGGAAATGGGGAAAACCTCTGCGTCTTCTTTTTTAATGTAAATAAATGGCAACTGCGCATAACATATGTCTGAACGAGGCCAATGTGTAAGAAACTGGGACACGTATATCTTTTATGGTTAAATTCATCATAATTAAGTGTAAAATTTACCCGATATCGGGTTAGAATTTATCGACGAAAAGCATGTTACCATTTGATTTAACTACATTAATTTCAAATTTCAATACTTCGGCCTTCTTATATATTTTCTAAATTTATGATTATGTTTTAGAGTAGAAAATTATGTTCGTCGTATTTTGAATAAAAAGTTACCTCTTGTTTTCGAACGATAGATGCACCAGATAATCACCAGAGAGATGCCTACAAAGAGCACAATGCCCATTGTTAACCAGGTGATTTGAGAACTCGTCAAATTCTTTACCGGTATGTTTGGGCAACCACCCTCTAGGACGACTACTCCCGGGAGGACTACCCTCCCCCTGGACAACTGTCCCCTGAAAAGCATGGCTCTTTAAATGCCTTTATTTTCTAAATATGACAAGTAACAGCTTAAAAATGTGGCCCGATTTTATGCCACATCTTTGTGTAGTCCCATATCCATTTTCAGTGTACAGTGTCTGTTGCTTTACTAGGACAGGTCCAAATTTCTTATCAGTTTGACGACGCAAGAACCTTGCATGCAGTGCACACGTATATGCTACATGATTAAACTAGCAACCTTTCTTAGTGTTTTATTTTTCTTACCTTGAAAATCGGCCATGCGCCATATGTGAACAACACCTGAGGGATATGTGCGTGGCAAAGAAAAGCTCAATAGATTATTCCCTTATTACTCTCTTAAAGATAGTACTAATTTAGAACTTACCTCAAAACGAAAGGGCTTGAAAATGTCTGTTAGTGGGAAAATACAACCTTTAATTGTCGAATTCACTTAAGGGAATGCAACCATTTTAGTAAATAGTCTGATTTCCAGACCCTTGTACCGAATGGTCATACGTTTTTTTCTGTGCAAAGATTCAATCAGTTTAATTTTGGCCATTACAAGAAGTGGGTTATTGATGTAGACAATTGCTTATGTACCCTTTACATCTCATGTTATGTACGTTATTACCAAAGAAAAAAAAAGTCAATCATTTACTCAATAGTGAATACTAGGACACTGCCAACGTTTACATTTGACAGATAGGACGTGCGTGATATATTCATTATTCAAGCAAAGTTCCACAGAATTTGATATTGTCTACAAATGGGACATATTACCTTTAAACTCCAAGGTATCTTTTCACAAACCGTCTTAAGTACAAGTTTGCCACCTTTCCTTTATTGAATAGCGTGTTAACCTTATAAACGCGCGTTTCAGCGGATTGTTGGCCAATTTGTTCATATGATGGTTTAGCAAAACGATGCCCTAGGTTATCATTTTGCGGGAAATAAAGAGTCGATAGCCTATTGCAAAACAGTCTCTTTCAAGACCACAGGGAAACCCCGAGTGGATTTAACAGGTAGAGACACGAATGTGTTTCCACGTTTGTCCTTGTGGTGTTCAGGTTCATGCAGATACAGACATAACGATCGTGACCTAGTTTTACACTGATTACACGGGAATTCACATGACCTCTGTACACAATACTTATTTTATGATGTCATGTTCACTATGCTAATCCCTGCTGTCTACCTTCATTCACAATATTTATTCTGCTATGGTGATTATTTTGTTAGACTTTGACATTTTTTGTGTACAGTATCACGCACAACTATGCATTACATAAAGTACCAGAAATACATTTAAACAACCTGTACATGAACTTTTAATAACAACAGGGAGAGGCTTTTAACCCGATGTTAGGCGCCAACATAATTTACTGAACAATACGTGTTATAATGGGCCCCTATCCGAGCGATTCATTCTGCTTACCTTGTAAATCTGACATGGCCTTTTTGTTCTTTCTTCGGTGGTGACAATAAATCATGGACCCTCAGAGTGGTGTGTGCAAATAAAAATCTCAAGTTATTATCAAAGCAGCTACGCAGCATGAACATGAACAATACACCCTTTACAAGGCATGATTCATATTCATGTTATGTCTGCTTCCTCAAATCTATGCCTCAAATGCTTCCATTAAATCTAAGTTAATATCAGAGTTGATTTCCCCTTTAACGGATTTCTATATTCAAATGCAATTGGTGTACAATTCAATAATTGTCGTTGGTTAATATTGATCAGCAATTATTCCTGTTCGTATAAACATGTATTAAAAAAGGGAATTTGTACGTATGCTTTAAAAAGTAACCAGGCATTGTGACGTATGGCACCCCCTTGGGAAAACCCACCTGTATAGACTCCCGAGTCCATTGTCACAACATACCACAGACATGACGGAGATGGTGCATTGAAGAAGAAGAAAAGATTTCCATCGATCATATTTGTATGGGATCACAAATCGAGACCCCTTTGTATTCACAATGCCCTTATTGAGAAAAGAATATCCAACAAGAATTGAGTCCCCTAACACTGTTCGTAAATGTAACAAACTCTTCATTGACTTATTGTACAATAACATAAAATATACAGTTGAAAGCTAAACTATTCATACCCTAACCAAGTTTTGTAATTTGAAAAATTGATTTGCCCCTGATTTTTGTTTTATTTATGACGTAACATATTTTAGTATTCAAGCAGTCCACCTTTCATTCTTCAGCTAAATTTTTTTTTTTTTTTTTTTTTTTTAAATTACAAGGGTATTAATAATATAGTTCTTAACTGTATATCTATTATAATGCTTTATTATGAACATGTGTCTCGGATTTCTATCTCTCCCCTTCCCACCCCCCCCCCCATTCTCTCTCTCTCTCTCTCTCTCTCGCTCTCCCTTCCCTCACTCTCCCTCTCTCTCTCTCTCTCTCTCTCAATCCCCCTCTCCCGTTCTCTCTCTCTCTCCCTCTATCTCTTCCCTCTCCCTCTATATCTTCCCTCTCTCTCTCTGTCTCTTTCAACTTCTTTCAATTTCTCTCTTTCTCTGTCTCTCCCCCTCTCCTTCACTCTCTCTCTTCGTGTCTCTCTTTTGTCTCTCCCTCCCCTTTTCCTTATTTCTGTCTCTCTGTCTCTCTCTCTCTCTATCTCTTTCTCTTTTCTCTTCAGTACTCTCTATATTTTCTGTTCATCCTTCACCTTCTCTCACTTCCATCCTGTAATATAATGTAGTCCAATGACAAAAATATATTTTTATGAGAAAAGAATTTACTGCCCAACTGAATACATGTATGCGTAAATTATATTTACATCAATTCATTACGAAATTGTCACACGGTGGTTAGAACTCGTATTTACGAAATATTCTCGAGCAATATAACAATGCTTGGCTAAATCTGAAGTCTAGGTTTTCCGGAAGCAAAACATGGTTGATGCAATCAAATCTAACTACAACTAAGGAACAAAATTCAGTTTAAGTGTCTAATTAATTTTACTACAACATATCTCTCACTTCCATCCTGTAATATAATGTAGTTCAATGACAAAAATATATTTTTATGAGAAAAGAATTTACTGCCCAACTGAATACATGTATGCGTAAATAATATTTACATCAATTCATTACGAAATTGTCACACGGTGGTTAGAACTCGTATTTACGAAATGTTCTCGAGCAATGTAACAAAGTAGGCTAAGTCTGAAGTCTAGGTTTTTCCGGAAGCAAAACAAAACATACCATGGTTGATGCAATCAAATCTACCTACAAACAAGAAACAAATATCGTTTCAGTGTCTACTAAACTAACTTTACTGCAAAGATATAGGCCTAATTTAAAATAGTATACAAACGCTAATTTCTGTCATAAATTGCAAAATTCCTAGATGGCTGGGTAACAAAACATACAGAGCGAATATATAAATGTACACTTTTTTGAAATTATGATTGTAGGGGAATTCGACTCTATGGGATTTCAATTTTCGAATATAAACGTGCAGCATGAATAATCTGTTGTACTTTCAGATTTACACAGATTTGGTTAGATAATGTTATCAAAAATCCTATTTAATCAGGCCTTCTCACATCTACAGGTTTGAGGATCAAATGAAATCGTAATGTTAATGTGCTATTATCATATCTAGCACACTGAATAATGCATTTTCATGTTATACCAAGTACAGGCCATCATTGCCAAAAAAAATATCTAGGTGATGTAAAAGCAGTGCATAGACTGCGAAGATTATTGTTCTTGGTTTTCAAAAATAAAACTCTATAGGAGAATGCATTCTCATTCCGCATTCTGCACTCTCCAATGTTTTAGTCTTGTTCAATGTCTCAATGCTCATTTGTCCTCCAGCTTCGAAAAGCAGAAACAGTAACAAGGGGCTTTCTAAAAATAATAACTGAATAAAAATAAACGTTTATCTGCCTTCATTCATCATTATTCGCTCTTAATCGCCGTCGTGTTGTAAATTCACAGTCTGCATCGTCTCCACAAGAATCGACTTCCTTTCCTAGACATAACATGAATGTGGAGTAAAAGTTCGGGATATGACGATGATGGCAGTATTTCACCTAAATAATGTCCATAAGCCTCAAAATGTACTTTTCTTCACGTTGAGGCAGATATCTCAGGGTTCCAACAGGTGATATCACCTTGAGTTCAGAACTTCAGTTATCTGGAAAGAATAAGATTATATGCAATTGCAGCATTTTTCCTATAAATGAGCCTAGGTATTTAAATCCAATCATAATGCATCTGATCATTTAAATATCTTTAAGTTTTGTTGGAAAAGATTTACTTTGATTGAGCATCCTTAATGGACCTTGACTTTGGTATTCCATAGTGGTTTCCCCCAGAATGAAACTGACTATGATATGTACACATGTAAATATGAAATGACACAGTTTATGTAACACAATATCAAGGGTGTGCCTCTTTCTTTAGGAATGGCCTCATTTTCTTCATCTTCTTCATCGCCTCCTTTTCCTTCTTCATCTTCTATATATTTTTGTTTGGAGGGGGCTTTCATTAAACATGCATATTGTGTGTCCCCTTTTCTTCAACATTCTGAATCCGCCCTTGGGCCCGGTTTCATTAAACGTGTTATGACAGATTTATGACAAATCTACTCATAGCCATTACATCGAGAAAGAAAATGTTGGTAGCTGATAACAATAATCCCATCTCGTTCTTGTTATTGATAACAAATTGTATGACGTTTCTGAAACAGGGTTCAGGTACTACCTTAATTGTTATTGAAGGACTCATCAATGCCGGCATTCTTGAGGGCTTCCACCAGGTTCGGTGTCTGCCTCGTCCGAGGGGTCTTCTTCCTCCAAGCCTGGAGCATGGCCAGGGTTCCTGAATGATCGCCATGGTCTCTGTTGCTCTTGAGGTATTGATTGACCTTGAACTGCCTGAAGCCGAAGTTGATGCCAAGCTGCTCGATGGCATCTTCATCCTTGAGATTCTCAGCAAGCGCTGCGATCTTCTCATCCGGGACTCCAGCTGAAAGATGGAGGGAAGAAAAGTTGATGACTCTGGACCAAGGGGGTGTTTCACAACGATCCTAAGTCGAACTTAACTCTAAGTTGGACTTAAACATTATGGAGAGCCATTTGTAGCCTTCAAATGAAATATAGTCAAAATCAAAAATTCAAGTATTTTAGACTTTCCATAAATTCCACATCAAAAACATGAAATATCCTTGACAATAGAAAATATGAGTGATTTGAATCAACATTTTATGGCTTTCAAAACATCTTTTACAAAATATTTTCAAAGATGTTTACGGCTTCCCATAATTGTAAAGTCCAACTTAGAGATAAGTTCAACTTTAGTTCTTTCTGAAACACTTCCCTGGTCTATCCATGGTAATACGAAGCATACATGTCCAAGTTATACAAGTGTATTATGTAACGTCCTCAAGACCCACACTAGGGATCTGTTAAACAAAACTTGTAATCAAGAACGAATGCTAAATTTCTTTGACAAATTTGCTCTCAGCTAGCCAAATGTCAAAATTTCAGTAGCTTATAGCTATAGCTTATTTCAGTAGTTTATAACTTGTTATTGATAACAAGTCTCATGAAACAAGACCCAGACCAATGACAGACCCACATCGAATGGGCAAGGAATGGACGGCTTGGAGTCACTGTAGTAGTATAGTTGGAAATGCCTATTATTTTAATCAAACATTCATTAATTTCTTGGGGATGTTTTACTAAGACTAAGATCGACTTTAAGTTGGACTTAACTATGGCAGGCCAATCATGCCACTAGTTGCTCTCACCATTATGATCTTTAGATAATATTTTGACCTTCAATAATGAACTATCGAAAACATGTAAATTTTGTAGATTTGTGGCCCTGATATGTACGTCTCTTGAGAGACCGATGCCAGTAAATGGTGAAATCAGGTCTCTTAATAATGATTACTTGGATTAATCTTGTTCCTCCTTACTACAAAAACCTAAACATGTGGGAGCTGTGTTCAACCATAATACATGTCATGCTTACATTGGTCAATCTAAGTATCAAATATTAATAAATAAAGGCTTTACAAAAATTGAGGTTCTGGGAGTGGAGATTGCAGTGGAGAGGGAGTGGAGATTTAGTATTTAATCAAATGACCGGGGTAAATAATGAATTTGTATTAAAAGCGCCTGGAGACATTTGTATGGAGCAAAATCAGAATACTATGAATATTATTATTAACAAACTAGGCAATAATTAACAGCAGCTTTCCAATATGTACTAAATTCGCTCATGATTTTATGTACCTTCATTAGGGAAGTGTTCGGTGATCAAGTTCTCGAAACCGGACTCCTCCAAAGCCTTCACCATCATGGGGATCTGTTTCGCTGCAGGAGTCTTCTCCTTCCACACGAACAGGATGGAGTTGGTACCAAAGATATTGGTGGCCCGCTCGTTTTCCTTGGAGACCTGATTCAGCTTGAACTGCCGGATGCCAAGATTTCGACCAAGCGTGGAAAGGTCGCTTTCGTCGACCAGAGCCCCTGCAAGGTTGGCCAATGTTTCATCCTCGATGCCACCTGGTGAGTAGGTTAACAAACAAGGAATAGCAACTCGTATGGCTACAGCCTACAATACCGACACTACTAGTTTTGTGGTCCTTCCAAACACTCTGAACATGGTTCACTAGTCCGACGCCCCACATTTTCTTTTATCTTCTCATATGTATTTATTAGTTTTGTCAGCATATCGGACCTTTCATAAACTTTTCTGTTTTATAATATCTTGGAGGCTGCCGGTCTTAGGGGATAACTCATATCTATGCAAACTCTCTCTCTCTATTTCTCCATCTCTCTCTCTCTCTCTCACTCTTTGCTCATCTATTATTGTATGACTATTAAGTTGTTTGTGATGTTACTAAGTAAAAGAAAATGTTAATTAAAGAAAAGCAATGTAATATAGTCCATGGGCTGCCATATGGATTTTGTGCCATAAATACCAGTTCAATTCAATCCAATTCATCTCCGTTACTAATAATTCCATCTCGTTCAGTTCTTCATTATTATATTACACATTATTTTAAATTATTTAGTACGAAATAATCAACTTTTCCTCCATAAACAAAGACGAATTCAATGTGAATTTGATTTATGCATTGTATCAAATTAATGACTGAACTAAATCAACCAATCAATTTGCAAGATGATAGATAACATACAACCACAATTTATTTTTACCTTGATTTTTGTCTCCTGATTCTACGTTACCCAGTTGGCCGTATTGTTTATTTGCTGTGTTAACGAATCAGAAAAATCAAATCACAAAATTAGACAAAATACAACAAACGGAGATCAGTCTGTTAATATTTCCGGCAGGTAACTAACTGTAAACCGTATTGATAAGTGGTAATTGATGATTGAATTATGAATAATTGATGATTGATTTATGAATCTATGGATTTCTATATTATCTTTCCAAGGTTACATATTCATGTTCATTCAGGTTAAATTTACATTTGATACATTCTTTTCCAATGCAATACACGACATTGTGTAGAGAAGGTATAAGAAATTCACCCGAAAGAATAGGTGTAGGTAATCTCACAAATGAGATGAATTCTTGCCCTTTGATGTACAATATTCCTTACGATAATGTACAAGAGATAAATAATGGAAGATATTCTCGAGAGCATGATGTCTATACTAAAACTCCAAAATCTAAATTAAACCCACCGACCCTTATCTCTCGACTTTTTTTCTTTCTTCATAAATCTGCCTGATTCTCTTAGACAGTAGCTATTAAAACATACACTATGAATATGACGGACAAAGAAAGATGACAAAATATACAGTTCATCAGGTAGACAAAGGAACATCCCTTCACTGCTATTATGTAAAAATGTGTAGAACAGGTGTCACATGCATATTCACCTGTTTTACTCATTTTTACATAATAGCAGTAAAGGGATGTTCCTTTATGTACCTGAGGAACTGTATATTTTGTCCTCTTTCTTTGTCCGTTATGTTCATAGTGATAAATACGCTTTTACTTGTATTAGTCCATGGGCCAGACCAGATATTGGTACCACCAGAGGTGGCAAAACCTTTGTACTTTTTTTTTGTTTGGTGGGCATATATACGTGTAAAAAGTTATGATAGCATTTCCGAATGTACAGCTTAGTCATATAATCAGCGGTTTCCATGGCAACACTAGACTAAAACCGGTATTATTCAAAGAAACAGTTAAAGTCATTTAAAAATTATAAAAACACTTTTGAATGCATAAAAATGTACATTTTAGAATACCTCACCATAAAGGAAAGTAATGAAATGCAAATTACATTACCATTTATAACGGTTGCCATAGTAACGACCCCATAATGGCCTAAAATCAAGGATTTTGGCGTATTTTCAGTAACATATTAGACAATATGCCCTTTCAAGACAAGTTAAAGTCCCCCATCCAATTTAATGAAACAACTATATGACTAATACATCATATTAGCCAAGAATATGCTATTTAGTACCTTCCCATTGTTACCATGGCAACATGAATTAGAGTTAACAAGATGCCCTGTATGGTACTATATGCCATATTTTGGCTATATTTTGGCATTGGAGAGCTGTTGAAAGTTCATTTTGGTGTCTATACCCAGGTTTTCAGGCCCACAGAATAAAAGTTTAGAATACCTCACCATAAAGAAAAGTAATGAAATGCAAATTACATTACCATTTATAACGGTTGCTATAGTAACGACCCCAGAATGGCCTAAAATCAAGGATTTTGGCATATTTTCAGTAGCATATTAGACACTATGCCCTTTCAAGACAAGTTAAAGTACCCTTTCTAATTTAATGAAACAACTTTATGACTAATACATCATATAAGCCAAGAATATGCTATTTAGTACCTTCCCATTGTTACCATGGCAACATGAATTAGAGTTAACAAGTTGCCCTGTATGGTACTATATGCCATATTTTGGCTATATTTTGGCATTGGAGAGCTGTTGAAAGTTCATTTTGGTGTCTATACCCAGGTTTTAAGGCCCACAGAATAAAAGTTTAGAATACCTCACCATGAAGAAAAGTAATGAAATGCAAATTATAATACCATTTATAACGGTTGCCATAGTAACGACCCCAGAATGGCCTAAAATCAAGGATTTTGGCATATTTTCAGTAGCATATTAGACACTATGCCCTTTCAAGACAAGTTAAAGTACCCTTTCTAATTTAATGAAACAACTTTATGACTAATACATCATATAAGCCAAGAATATGCTATTTAGTACCTTCCCATTGTTACCATGGCAACATGAATTAGAGTTAACAAGTTGCCCTGTATGGTACTATATGCCATATTTTGGCTATATTTTGGCATTGGAGAGCTGTTGAAAGTTCATTTTGGTGTCTATACCCAGGTTTTAAGGCCCACAGAATAAAAGTTTAGAATACCTCACCATGAAGAAAAGTAATGAAATGCAAATTATAATACCATTTATAACGGTTGCCATAGTAACGACCCCAGAATAGCCTAAAATGAAGGATTTTGGAGTAATTTCATTAACATATTAGACAATATTCTCATTCAAGACAAGTTAAAGTCCCCTTTCCAAATTATTGAAAAACTATATGACTAATACATCATATCAGCCAAGAATATGTTATATAGTACATTCCCATTATTACCATGGCAACATGAATTAGAGTTTACAAGATGCCCTGTACGGTACTATATGCCATATTTTGGCTATATCTTGGGATTGGAGAGGTGTTGAAAGTTCATTATGGTGTCTATACCCAGGTTTTCAGGCACAGGGAATACAGCTAAAGCATTATTTTGGACATTAACATAGGACATCACTGCTATTTTTCATACATTTGCATAAAATCAGAGCAAAATGAACATACAAGTATTCTGCCACTGCATATTACGAGCTGTTTCTTAGGGTTTAGAAAAATATAACATTGTGATGACTAC